AAAAGTCACATATATCCCATGCAGTTTTTTCCAGAAGCAAGTTTTCTGATGCCTATATAAAAGTACTATTGGCCAATACTAAATACAACCTCTACATAAAATGGCAGTTACTATAATAAGCATCACCCACATTCATATTGTAAAATCCAGAGAACGACGTTTCTTCACGTGCTTTGCTAATCATCCTATGATTTGTCAAACGTGAAATACAGAGATTGGAATAACATGGTACTGAAATTGACACTTTCAACAAGGATTGGCTAAAAGTTTTACAACTGAAGTTGAACACACCCAGACGCTATTTTAAAAAGAAAACAGACTAGAAAAAGGTTTAGATACCAATCACAAATGACAGGACCAGTGCTGAAGTGGAAGGAAAAGTTTTTAAAAATTTTGAAAAAATTTTTTTTCTTAGAGGGCGCTTATTTACAGTCTCAAACGTATTTTAGGATTTTTTTCATTAAATTCCTCTTTAAACTTCATTAAATAATACAGTTTTGTATAAATGATTGAATGTTATGCTACTATTTACAAAAATAAAATCTGAAATTAAATAAAAATATAAGTTTTCTACAATTTTTTTCAATTCACAAATGTGATTTTGCCCTCACAATAAGACAAAATGGCGACGAAGGTAACAGGTAAAAAAAATCATCCATATATTTCTTATCAACTAAGTAGAAAAAATGGTAAGGTTACTTAAATTCAATCATCTTTAGGAAAAACAAATATTTTGCAAAATAAACACGATTCCAGGATGTGAAATGTCTACAGAATATTACTTCAAAATTTGATATATCATAAAGAAACTTGTAATTATTCAAAGTTTAATGTAATAGGATTTTCAGTTTTCATATTCATGTATTTTCAGCTGACTTGAACCATTGTATATGTGTGTGCTAAAGTTTTATTACCCCAGCAAATGTACCATTGTTCACTTCGTTTTAAAATCTTTATAACAATTGTTACTTTTAACAGTTTTAAAACTATCACAATTCAAGAACTTGATACCAGAAAAGATAATTTGCAAGTGATTGTAACGATGAGTCATTTCTGTTTGCATATTACCTGGAAATATGAATCAGTTTCATGAACAGCAGTGATAACCTTCCTCTAACAAAAAAAAAAAAAGAAGAAGAAGAAAAAGCTGTTCAGATAAATTTATTTTGTATTATTTGAGTTTTATTTATTTATTAATTACAAAGTAGCAACCTTTAGATCACTAAGCTTATAGAGTTTTATAGCAGATTGTATTTTATCTTGTGTTTATTTAATAATATTGGAACACTGTAACATTAATTTAACTCTGCACACCGTTTGTACTGATTTCTTCATGTTGTGTACTAGTATGTTGCAAAGTACAGTAATTTCTATAGGAAACATATTATAATCATTTTAACATGCTTAAAAAAAATAGACATATTATTAGTGGGACCATTCTTAAAGATTGCGTGACTGTCTAACACTTAGGGACATTAATCACACTGCTTATGCTGTAGTGATTTTGAGGTACTCTGAGGGTAATCTGCTCCCCTTTTCTTTCATGACCTGTTTTGTATTAAAGTTAAAAATCTTCTGTAAGTAAATCATTTGAATTTGCCTTATAACCATTTCTACTATGTTTTGTTTTTTTGAATAACTAGTAAAGAAGGTCATTGTCATGATATAGAAGACTGTTCAGTTTAGATATTATTGATTAATATATTCATGTGAGTGGTTGTCTTGTTATTGTTCAGTTTTTGTTATAATAACAGTTACAGGCAGATGATTGTAGGAAGTTTTGTTAATAATTCATTGATACTGAGACTATTGAATGTCATGTTCAATACATTGTTGTCGAGAATATAGAAGGTGGGCAAATGATTAATTGATAGACATATAAATAGTGTGAGACGAGTGGAAACAGCAGACAGATAATAGCAAAAAAGAGTAAAGTTACAGGGCAAGGAAAAATTTGGTGTGAAGTTAACTACTGTAGAAGTGATAGGCTTAATGTTTAATATGTTAGAGTAACACTGAAAGAAGATAAGAAAAATATTTTATTCCGTAAAGCGTGGTTATAAAGTAACTGAATCAGCCTGAGTGCACTTTGACAAAATGTACAGAGGATATTTAGGAGAAAGAAGACCAAATGACTACAATAACTCGTGCCACAATTGCTAGTGAATCACACACACACACAGAATACTAGTGCGATAGTAATGGAGAAGATAGTTTGGCTTCTCAACTGAAATTTTAAAGTAATTGAATAGGCCTAAGTGGACTTTTGACAAGAAGAAGAGAACTATATGTATAATGTTTATGATATGCCTATAATATCTATCTATAGTGTGAAGAATTTATTGTACATACGTTTAACTTGTTCCAAATATTCTATTATTTGGAAAACAAGTGAAGTGTATGTGCTGTTTATTCATTATTGAATTTATCTCTAACAAGTCACAGATACCTACTGTAGAAGAATCCTAAGCCCAACAATAATACAGTATATATTTATACTGTTGAGAAGTATAAGTAAAAGCCTTTTATTTGGACAATTGGCAAAAAAATAGATATTTAAAATTCTGACAGTCATCAGTTTGGTTTCATTAGTACTTTAGAACTATTAATTTAAAATAAATTTTGAATATCACATATAGAAAATTTTGCGTCATTGTTGTATATTTCAAGGTTAATCAATTTTCCAAATATGAAAACAATACACTATTGGGAAAACATACCAAATTTCAAGTATTGAACTTCCACATTATAATACTTACTGGTGTTGTTACAGATAGGTCTACTTTTTTGCTCTTTACTTTTAAGCAGCCAGTTAAACTACATCAGCTAAATTTTTGGAAATAATAGAAAACGTGCTGTATGTGGTTAAGTATTAATTAAGAATATTGACAATGAATGTTATGAATAACTATCATATAAATCAGGTTAAGTTTAAAATTAACATTACTATTGAACTATCAGAAAAGAAAATTTAAAAATTTAAATTTGCGAGCCTTGTATGGGCATTTAGCAAATTTATTTGAACTATTTCAAAGAAGTCATCTGTGTTGGATGTATGAAAGAACAAGTCTAGTAAAATAAAAATTACATTGTTAAACATTAATAGTCAGAAAATATATTAAGGTAAGAAAACAAATTTTTGGTGTTCTTCTGAGCTAAAGTACTTACTATTATTATTCTTAAATCAATATAAATGTATTATAAGATCTTTCTCAAATTGCTGTTATTATGTGTGTGATAAATATACATTTCATAATTCGTAACAGCTTAAATTTGAGGCAACTGTAGACATTACAATATTTGTACTTATAAGTATTTCATGGGTTAAGCGTATAGTATATGTAATTTAAGGTTTTTCACAACCAAATGGACCCTCAGAAGATCTTATTTGTTGAAAGGAGGAAAAACTCGTAATAAGGAGAATATTAATAAATTCATTAAAATTGTTTTAACTTAATAAAAATTTAAACTGGTATTTGTTTTGTTTTCAGATTGGAATATTAACAGTCCAATACCTACAGACATTTATATCCTCTACATTATACAGTGTAGCTTTTACCTACATTCTTTGTATGCCACACTATTCCTGGACACTTGGCGGAAAGATTCGATTGTTCTCCTTATTCATCATTTAATCACTCTTGTTCTTGTGTCTGGTTCTCTTGCCTGCAGGTTAGTAATTTTTTGATACATTTTTTTCATTAAATATTCTATGTACTTGTCATGTAAAAGTAAGGATTTTAAGTTCACTGTGCTTCCACGAAATTTCCTGCCATAATAAAATGTATTACATCACAATTTCTCTTGGAAAGTGTTTTAGCTCTGTATGGATACAAATGTGAATTTTTCTTAATCTGAATAATTTGTCTTCCTGTTTGGTTAATATAATGGATTTTAAAATTACACACAGCACATTGACAAAACTACTGCTTATTATATTGTGAAGCAGTTTTTAGATGATTTAACTATTTTTCCCCACAACATTCTACAAATTATGTTCCTGAAGAACATCAGTTGATGATTGTTAATCTTTTGAATCATTTGTATAAGCATGTGTGGTAGCTTGTTGTTCAAATTTGGATAAAAACTTTCCTTAGAACTTAGAAATTTGCTTAGTTTAATTGAAATTCCAGTGGAAACAATAATAAAGCAAAAGATATGCTTGTTTACATAGAGAGCATCTTGAAAACTCCTTTTTTCTCTAGAAACATTGTTTAGGATTGTTTCAAACAGACACAGAGAAACGATGACTGAAAGTGGCAAGGTAATAATAAAATATCATGAATATTAAAAATTTAATTATTTAGATGCAAGATAAGCTAAGCATGAAAACAATGAAAAAAATTAAAGTTAAACATTTTAAATTGTGTAGCTTTTGATCAAATGTGAAATTTTTTGGATTTCTGTGAGAAAAAATTGACAAGACTTGGTCATTTAGAAAACCCATAGTACTTACTGCAGAAAGTATACACTTGTTATGGTTAAATGCCAGTGTTAACATTCCAAAAATTATGTATCAGTGTAAAATGCAATACAGAGAATTGAAAGAAACATGAATGTTTCCTAGTAACATGTGCAACTATCTCTCATGGCTTTCATGGACTGAATTCTGATACTGGGATTGGCAATGTTCATGTGATTCCTAACCAGTACTGCAGAGATATTATGCACACAAGCACAATATTTACCTGATTAACATAACTTTTCATTAAAAACAAAAATCTATTAGAACACAAAATAAGAAAATAACATTCAAAATCAGATTAAGCAAAAGACCTTACCAACCAGTGTTACCTACTGGAAATCAGCATTTCCAATTTGAAATATAACACCATGGATATTAGTTCACCATTACTTCTTGGTGAACAAAATTTCTTAAGCTTTATCTTTCTTTATTCTCACTCCTTTTTTTTGTTTTTAATTAAAACTGTGTGGAACTTGTTGTTTTGTATTAATTTAATATGTTAAATAAAATTCAAATAGACTTGACGTCTTTATAGTTTAAAGACATCATCTTTGTTGGTACTACTACTACTCGCATAGAAACTATCTTAAACACAATGTTCTCAATTTACAAAACCCCTGTATCTGTATGCGGTCTGGTAAACCAAATATTTGTATAAAAATAATTATTTTATTTAGAATATATATATTTATACTATATATATTTCAAACATAAAGTTAAAATAAAGCTTGCCTTATTTAATGTAGAGTAAAGTATATGTCTCCTGTCCCGAGAAATTAGCATAGAGTCTTTAGGTTACAGGTCTTTGCTCTGAAATGGTCTGTTAACATTAACTTGTAGGCCTTTTACATTTCTATGTGTTATTTTCTCACTTATGTTTTTATTAAATACATTCAAAACTTTGCAGGAACTTTTATATATATATATATCTTTGCTTCTTTTTATTCATCATATATCTTTTCTGTTTTGTTTAGAAATATTTTCTTTTTTTTTTGTGTCTGACTTTTCAAATTTTTCTTTTCCAATACTCAGGAACGTCCAGAGCCAGCACGAGCCCATGGGGCAAAGATTCTCGCCGGGTCCCTTTTCTCTCTCTCTCTCTTTTTTTATCATTTTCAATAATTTAATAAAAAGAATATCCTAAATTAGGACAGCAACGAGCTCACAAACCAGACAAAATCATAGCAGCAGCCATTTTTACCTCACAGTATGAGCGTAAAAATGTTAATAAAGTAACAAAAAATATCTATTAAATCTATAAAGTAACAAATACATATTAATTATTACTCAAATTATTATTTCAGGTCTTTCTTAATGTATCAAGCATCTATATGCAAAGAAAAGCCAAAAACTATGGTTTTTATCATTAAATGAAGATATAGCCTAAAGATGTTGTGCAGGCTTTATGGCATAACCAGGTTTCATTCGCTCGGGCCCCTGTGCAGTAGTAACAGTACAAACACTATTCCTCACTTTTGACACTTTTATATGAAAAGTCTTAGCTTAGCTAAATTCTGTCAGTGATGCCTGTGAAGAAAAACATGTTGAATTTGACAGCTATTAGATGGCAGCAACTTACTAGACCATGGTTACGAATAGTAGCTTCAGAAAGTAACTCAAGATGGTTACAAAGTAATTTCTGTTGGAATTGTAGGTGAGTAAGTTATTAACTTACTATTGTAAGTTATTAGTGTATGTGATTACAAGCAGTGATGATACATGTTTATGGCAATATACTTGTATAAATAAATATACTTGTGTTATCCCACATGCATGTATGAACATAAAGTCAGTTGTGATGCATTGAATGCATAAGAAGGAAAATAAAAGGATTCATCTGGATTTTAAGACTTTGACTTTGTGATAAGAGTAGTGGTAGTGCTTGATATGAGTGAGTGTGTGTGTGTGTGGGGGGGGGGGGGGAGAGGAGGAAGTGGAATGGTTTG